AATATATCAAAACTTAATTTTTGATTAGTAATATGCATTGCTAAGAACTTCATTTGAACAACTTTAAAGATGATTTTCTCAATATTTAGATTTTTTTGCACCCTCAGATTCCAGATTTTCAAATAGTTGCATCTCAGCCAAATATTGTCCTATCCTAACAAATTTGAAAAATTGACCCTTATGACTGGTTTTGTGCTCCAGGGTCACATATTGTGCTGAATGTTGAATATGAAAGCGTTAAACCCATGAGGACTGAAGTGAACTGTTTATGACACTTTTCTTACATTCGTTCTGGAGGGATTGTCTCGTGATTAAACTGACGTTATGCAATGTTGTTCCCAGATAAAACACTCACTGTTTATGTCCATACACACAGCACTAAAAGATACGGAGCGCTTTGGCTTGACATTAGCAGCATGAAAGAACTCACACAGTCTTTGGTTATGAAAAGGCACTAATGATTTTGGCGAAACCCCCTCAATCTGTCTGGATTTAGCACTGAGCACACTCACTGTAAGCAGTATTAACAGGTTAGTCTGACTGATCTCTCACTTCTCCTGAAGGGCAGAGCGGTGGTTTTGACTGATGTCCTGGAGTCCAGCATCTGCTCTGAGGCTCTGAATGGCTCTCCACAGTCTCTCGTTCTCCTTCAGCTGATCGTTGAACTGACAAACATTTACAGAAAAACCAATCATGTCTAGTTAGCTTGGAATAACACATTCAGCGGAGCATGAGGTTTGTGGAGTATTAAACCACTAATGACACACTTCCAGATCCCTCCTTCAGTTGTTCATTACCAACACAACACTTAGTTATCTAATCAACCCTTTAAGCGATCGATAGTTTAGCCAAAATTAGAAAAATAGCTTTATCCGAGATCAGGATGAGTTTGTTTCTTCATCAGGTTTGTAGAAATGTAGCACTGCATCAGTGTCTCAGCAATGGATGCTCTGCAGTGAATGGGTGCCGTCAGAATGAGAGTCCAAACAGCTGATAAAAACATCACAATAATCCACAAGTAATCCACAGCACTCCAGTCCATCAGTTAACATCTGGAGAAGACAAAAGCTGAAACAAATCCAGCATTAAGACGCTTTTAACTAAAATACATAGAGTCCATAATCCATAATAACGCTTCCTCCAGTGAAAAAGTGCATCTCCTGTTGTCTCTCACATCAAAATCCAGCCACATATGTGTTTAGAGCTGTTTAAACGCTGCTTGATCTCTGCAGATTTCTCTCCAGATTCACACCAGAACACCTTTTCACTGGAGGAAGAGTTATTATGGATTATGCACTCAATGTATTTTAGTTAAAAACGTCTTAATGCTGGATTAGTTTCAGCGTGTGTCTTCTCCAGATGTTAACTGATGGACTGGAGTGCTGTGGATTACTTGTGGATTATTGTGATGTTTTTATCAGCTGGAATGGTTCATTTCTAAAATATGTATATGTGGCAAAGCTGAAAAAAAAAAAACATTGTTGAGGCAGTGATCAACCCAAAACATAGGACTCCAGTTAAATCTCAACTGTTAAAGCTCAGATGAAATAATAATAACTCCTCTTGAGAAGTCACACTTACAGTGAGATTATAGTTTACATACTTTATATTTGTAAGCAAAAGATTACAAACTTTGTGCTTAATTAACACATGAATATAGTGAATGATAACGTTCAAAAGTTTGGGGTTGGTAAGATTTTTTTATGTATTCATTTTTAAAAAACTGCATTCATTTGATCAAAAATACAATAAAAACTAATATTGTGTAATATTATTACAATTTAAAGTAGCTGTTGTCTGTTGTGATATATTTAAAAATTCATATGATGCAAAGCTGAATTTTCAGCATCATTACTCCAGTCTTCAGTGTCACATGATCTTCAGAAATCATTCTAATATGCTGATTTGCTGCTCAAGAAACATTTCTGATTATTATCAATGTTGAAAACAGTTGTGCTGCTTCATACTTTTGTGGAAAGTGTATTTTTCAGGATACTTTGATGAATAGAAAGTTCAAAAGAAC